TACCAGTATGATGTGACATTACTGGATGGCAGAGTGGTTTAGGAATCAACATGATTTCTTAAAACTCAAGATTTTGTTTAATAAACTCAGAAACAGATTTGACATTTAGACAAAGTGTTCAGAACTCTTCAATACAAAAATACAAAAATGACTTAAGTGTACCAGCCATTGACGGGGAGTAGTGATGTAGAGGCTGAGCTCGTACCTGGATCTTACAGTTGACAAACAGCTCCTCCACAGTCTTTCTGTCCCTCTCGTGCAGACCTGCGTGGTGCATCCCGATCCCGAAGGCCAGCGTCAGCTTCAGGTTAGAATCCCTCACTGTGGCGATGATCGCCTCTATCTGCAGGAAACAAGACGATGGACGACCGAGAGAGATCCTGTTTCATGAGACTGACAAATATCTACGGAAGAGTCCAGAGAAACATTTTACTTCAAGACAAAAAATAAAAAAATTGGGCCTGCATTGATTTTAGTAATTAAAAATATCTGCCAATGGGGTAAGAGCATTTGACTTGTTTTGTCCTGAAACAAAATGTTTATAAGCTTGCATTCTGTGGACACACGCACATGCACACGCACACACACACACGCACAGACACAGAACTATGAATGTAACTGTGTTTCAGGTAGTGGTGATGAACTTGTGTGGCCAAAAATATAACAACACACACTTGAAACACCTGACAACACCGGCGTGCGGCTCGATAATGGTTACATCTCGATTCTCTTTTTTTCATGATTGTAGGAAGACAAAATCGTAACTGAAATTGAAACTGGATTAATTGCCCCGCCCTCATTGAGACCTGCCGTTATCTGTCAAAACTTGTCAAATGGACTGGGCCTTAAATTGGGATTTGATTTGTGCCTGATAAAAAATCCACAGTCCATGTTTGTCATTTAAAATGTTGATTAAAAACGTCACTTCTGATTCAAATCTTCTCACCAATCAAGTGGAAAAAAAACAAAAAAAACTCTGAGGTCATAAAACGTTAGAGGAAGTAAAACGGAGAGGTGAAATGTGATCCCTGGGAGAAACAGTCGGGGGGTTTGGGGCAGCAGCAGAGGGAAGAAAGAGCTGTCAGGTGGAAGAGGGGATTTGTGGCAGTGGGTGACCCCCGGTGAGAGTTAAGCAGCCTGCGCCAGAGGCCTGTCAGTCAAACAGCAGGGCGCTGAGCTGCTACACGGGCCAGCGCAGAGAAGCAGCAGGCAGCAGCATATATCAGAGGAACACACACAGAGGAGGGGAAGCTCTGCACACACGTATAGAAACACAGCCTACACTGTCAGATGGTACATATTTACACTGAGGACAAGGTGTCATCAAGGACTCTGAACAGGCTTTAAATGCATCACTGGAAAACTAGAACCCTTTAAAGTTCAACATATGATGTGACTTCAGCTGTCGATGTGTTTAAACTTCTATCATCATTAACAATCACCTCTTATTTCTGTATCACTACGTTGTTGTCTCCCTCTCTACTTTATCACTACTGTACATCAACCATCTCTCTCTCTCTCTCTCTCTCTCTCTGCATGGTACGGTCTCACACTGAAGACATTCAGACTGAACTGGAAGAAGTGTCCACAAATCATCCACAAATCGTCTCCATGACGACGTTCAGACGAGATGGAACAGATCCTTCTAAATCATTATTATATTATATATAAAGTAAAACTCTTACACTTCAGTTTGAAACATTTAATCTGAAAATCCTGACAGTTGTTGCTGCTTCCTGATTGTATGTGAAGCCAGAGCAAAGTTTTTTCTGAATAGTTTTAATGTATGCATTTAGATTTGTTATTATTATGATGTTGCTCTTTCAATAAGAAATGCAATCCAACAACAACAACAACACTTTGAGTTATTGTTACAAAAATATTGGAATGGCATCTGTTTTTCAGTTTGGATCTGATATCGGTATCTGTTTAGATACATCGGTATTGGATCCTGAAAAAATCCAACGTCAAAATGATGAAGATTGTATCGTTTAAAAGCACATGGTATTGAAAAGTACCAAAGAATTTGAAATTGTGACGACGTTTATTCACATATTAAGTTCCAATTTTGAAGTTGATTCCTGTCATTTTTAAAAGCAAGATCACAACAGATCGGATAGTTTCCCATCTGAAGCTTGCGAGCAGAAAAGCTCCTTAACTAAAATACAGTTTAATAAAAACGAGTCAGAATTGTGCTAACAGGCGCTCCCCTCTCTGTTTTTAAAGTGTGTCACGGTAAGTTCAGTGCAACCATCAGGTCCTGATCTCCCGGTGTTATAACAATATCAGCATACTTCTCAAACACGAACCCAGAGGAGTCGTTTGCTCCCATCTTGAACTGATCCTACGGTTTGCACAGACAATATAACGGAGGATGACACAGGCTTTTCCATCTGTAATGACACTTAAACCAGCACTTAGAGGGAGAAGTGGAGACGTCTGCATGACCCAGTAAGAGGAGGAGGGAGGGTGAAAGAAGACATGTCAGACTCAGGGCTAGCGTACCTCTCTCTCGTCCTGGTGCAGCCACTGTTTGGGGTTGTCCTCGGTGGCCAGGTAAGCGATGAGGTCCAGGGCGGTCAGTCGAGTTTGCCGTCGAGATGACACAAATATGAGCACCGGCTTGGCAGGAGAGTAGCTGCGTATCGCTGGAGGAAAACGTTCACAAAGTTAGCCGTTTTATCCTGCTGTGAAATGATTATTCTATTTGAGTAACGAGTGAACTCCTCGAGTAAATCACAAAAAAACAAACTTATTTCAGTTTTGAATTCATTCAGTAAGCGGCAATGTCTTGTTTTTGTCCCTAACAGGGGTAGATTGTAATTCTGACAGGATAAACATGAGGGGGGATGAGGGGGTACTCATTACCGATGGCTCCATTAGAGGAAGGAGCCCTAATTGGGCCTGAAGTAAGTTTAAAGTTTGTGTTTGGTTTTGTTTATTTTTGTTTGCAGAGTGTGAGGTCTGTCCATGTGGATGTTACCTTGGAAGGTGGGCTTGTTCATGCTGGCCATGCGGGGGCAGTAGTGTTGTCCTGGGAAACCATTGATGTGAACTTCCAGCGGCACGGGGCGAACAGACGGGCGGAAGTTAAACAGACCCACCTTTGACAAAGAGAAAGGGAAGGGGGGGGGATTTAACTCCTTTAACGCTGAACTGCTGCTGGACTGTGTGTGTGTGTGCTGTGTTTACAGTGTGATAATGTGACATGATGCAGTTTGTGAACATGAACCGTTTCTAGGCAGAAAAAACGTCTTAAAGATGATCTGGACATTTATCAACGAGCCAGAAAAATAAAATACAAACAACAAGAACAACAACAAAGCATGCTCCTGTAGGAAACCAAACAATACAGTTAGTAAAGCAATCAGAACAATTGTTTAAAGGTTGCTTTGTGTCTTGTTGTGCTTAAGACTTTAAGCACAGAAACCTTGCTCACTGAAATGTCTCGTCCTCATCACGCAGTGATCAAGATGATTTTGTGGTTCTTTCACCTCGACAAAAGAAAACAGGGTCCATCACTGGATCTCAAAACAAGACAAGAGCGAGGAGAGTTTCACCTGTTAAAGAAGAGTTTCACCTGTCGATAAAGGAGAGTTTCACCTGTTAAAGAAGAGTTTCACCTGTCGATAAAGGAGAGTTTCACCTGTTAAAGAAGAGTTTCACTTTTTGATAAAGCAGAGTTTCACCTGTCGATAAAGGAGAGTTTCACCTGTCGATAAAGGAGAGTTTCACCTGAAAGGAGAGTTTCACCTGTTAAAGGAGAGTTTCGCCTTTTGATGAAGGAGAGTTTCACCTGTCGATAAAGGAGAGTTTCACCTGTTGATAAAGGAGAGTTTCACCTGTCGATAAAGGAGAGTTTCACCTGTTGATAAAGGAGAGTTTCACCTGTTGATAAAGGAGAGTTTCACCTGTCGATAAAGGAGAGTTTCACCTGTTGATAAAGGAGAGTTTCACCTGTTGATAAAGGAGAGTTTCACCTTCGATAAAGGAGAGTTTCACCTGTCGATAAAGGAGAGTTTCACCTGTCGAAAGGAGAGTTTCACTTTTTGATAAAGCAGAGTTTCACCTTTTGATAAAAGAGTTTCACCTGTCGATAAAAGAGTTTCACCTTTTGATAAAGGAGAGTTTCACCTTTTGATAAAGGAGAGTTTCACCTTTTGATAAAGGAGAGTTTCACCTGTTGATGAAGGAGAGTTTCACCTGAAAGGAGAGTTTCACCTGTCAATAAAGGAGAGTTTCACCTGTCGATAAAAGAGTTTCACCTGTCAATAAAGGAGAGTTTCACCTGTCGATAAAAGAGTTTCACCTGTCGATAAAGGAGAGTTTCACCTGTCGATAAAGGAGAGTTTCACCTGTCGATAAAGGAGAGTTTCAACTGTCGAAAAAGGAGTTTCAACTGTCGATAAAGGAGAGTTTCACCTGAAAGGAGAGTTTCACCTGTCAATAAAGGAGAGTTTCACCTGTCAATAAAAGAGTTTCAACTGTCGATAAAGGAGAGTTTCACCTGTCGAAAAGGGAGAGTTTCACCTGTCGATAAAGGAGAGTTTCACCTGTCGATAAAGGAGAGTTTCACCTGTCGATAAAGGAGCTGCAGAATTATCCTAATGGCTTTCAGGTGTATTTCTGGATGTCAGCGGTCCAGTTTAAAATACAATACTTTATTGTCTCCTGGGGGGAAATCTGTTCTCACAGCTTTGCATGGTTGGTACACATGAAGAAAACGTATAACAGCAGGTAGAAAACACAAAGCAAAGAAGGGGCCAGTCAGCATAGAAGATTGTGTAGGGCTTCAATCGCTGAGGGGACAAAGTTTGATCTTCATTTCTCCAGAGAGCTAAAATGTTCCTCTTTGCAACTACCATGCCATATATTACACAACCAGTCAAGGCCAAATGTATCGGGTTATCTTAATTACTGTTTTCATATCCAATCGATCGGAAATGAAGAAAAAGCAACAAGTGAAGCGTACGAAAACACAGAGCGAGACAAAGACTGTGGTTTCTGTTGGGATGATCCTGAAACAAGAGAGCTTATGAAGAAGAGAGTACAGCAGATATCAGACATACACAGAAAGTAACTCTGAGCCATGTTCTGGTATTCACAGTCTAAGAATAAAAACCAGTGTGTGTGATGTGTGTTTTGGGGCCATGATGGATTTCTGACCTGTTTGATTCCCAGCCAGTCGGCGAGGTCTCGAGCGTTGGCCAGAGCCGTGGACAGGCCGACCACTCTGACTGTCTTAGAGGTGTGAGATGAAATGAAGTTGGTCCTGGACACGATTACTTCCAACACTGGACCCCTGTCCTCACCTTCAGACACACACAGAGAAACAGTTCATTTAAACATCTGTAATGACTTTGGTAGACTTAATTATATTCATCAAAATATGAAAATAAATGTTTTTCAACAAATGTTTTTCAATGAGGAAGACGAGACTTTGACAAGCCAAAATGAAATCTTCACTAAATCCCACTGAGTCTGAACTCATTTTAAAGGTGCAATATGTAACTTTGACTCCTAGTGTTTAAAATGGGTACTGCAGTCTAAATTCTAAACATCATAGAGAGCTGTCTCCCCCCCTCCTCTCTAGAGTGGATGCTCACTCAGGTCACCATGTGGTGGACTCTGAAGCTTCAGTGTTTATCCAGCTCTGCATGGGTCTGTAAACCTTTCTGTGTTCTAACCTCTCTCCATTTTTCAAAAGCATCTCCAATATTGATCCTAGTTTGAGCACGTTTCTGCTCGTGGAGCTTATTAGAAACATGCAGAGGCTTTTTAGGTCGGGTACAATCACTTCTATCTGAACCACTTCTCTTGACCGCTTCCATCGCTGCAACACCTGTTGACCTGATAACTGCTCTCATATCTGACAAACCGAGGGGCGTCCAAAATGTCCGTCGGGGACTCTTGACTAACCCAGTAGGTGGATTTCATCGATGATGAGGATGGCTACTTTCTGGACGTAGCTTCGGTTCTGCCAGCTTCTGCTCACTCCGTCCCATTTCTCAGGTGTGGTGACGATGAGGTCGGCCTGAGATATGGCTCTCATGTCTGGAGTCACGTCACCCGTCAGCTCCACAACTCTGCACAGAACAAACGGACATGAGAATAATCATGCTGGCCTGTTTCTGTCACTATCTTCTGCTGTGCTGCTTGTTCCCCGACATTTTGATGACACTTTACAATTTTGCCAACCAGGTTAAGACGGTTTGAAACAAGTCAGACAGGGAAATAAAACATTTGAGCCAAACATTAACATATCGCTCAAAATGAGACATGAATAAATATTCTTTTTCTGACTGTTACGACAAGGTAAAAACCAAACTTTTGCCCAGGTTTGACCCCCCTTCTGACCTTATTCTACTTATTACCTCCCCTAAGCAGAAGTCATAAAATAAAACTTTTTTACGCCTGTCCACTTTATGTGTAACAGCAGCTCAAGCTAACAAGCAGCAGACCCGTTAATACAAACCGCCCACAGCCTCTGTCTTCACTTACTTCCTCCCCAGTTTCTGCTCAATCCTGACCTTCCAGTCCTCGATCCTCTCTCTGACCAGGGCCTTCAGGGGGGCGATGTACACCACCTGAAGCCAACGACAAACACAAAAGATTCAAAAGAGAAACATCGTCAGGTTTCTCTTTTTAACGGTCTGCAGACATAAACAGTCATTTCATCACATTAAGGTCACTCGTTAAATGCATCAATTACATTTTCTGTTTGTATCTTTAGTGCGACTTTAGAGTCTTTAGAGTTCATTTACATTATTTATTTTGTGAAGGTCGAGTATATTAACATCTAGTAAGCTTCTTGTGGAAGCACCACTAAGTGACAACGCTTGCTAACAGTAGACAGCATCATGTGAGTGATTCTTTAATGTGCTCGTTCATTCAACATCAAAACAGACGGAGTCAGAGAGAGTCAAACCTTAGCAGTCGGGTACTTGTTGAAGACCCTGAACATGGCCATCTCTGCTGCGATGGTTTTTCCGGAGCCTGTCGGGGCCCCGAGCAGGACGTTAGTGTCCGTGTGATACAGCGTGTGGAAGATCTGCGTCTGGATGGGGTTGAAGTGAGTGAACTTGTAGAGGCTCTCGTACTCCCGGTTACCCAGAGCGGTCACAGGCAGCGGCTGCAGGTCCAGCAGCTCTGAGAGGAGGAGGAGAAGGATTATAAGGTGTGATGAACATGTCAGGACAATTGGCTAACTGACAGACTGTGAAGCCTGAGTGATGTCACCCTTCAGTTCCTGCAGGGGGCGCTGGAGTCCCATCGATGGCGGTCTCCATGCTGGAAATGCTGTCTCAGTCTAACTTTCAGTCAACCTAACGACAGGCTGAGAGCTGGAGCTGAGGCGGGTTTTAAACCTCCTGACAAACCGTTACACCGCGCCCACCTGTCAATCAGGTCAGCTACACGCCTTATTGTGAATAACTCTTATCCTTCATCAAATCAAAACTGATGAGTCATCAAAACATTCACCCCCCGTACAGTGTGTGTCCATCCAGACATGAGCTAATCACACCTATTTGGTTTTTTGAACCAGGCTGTAAACATGTTCATCTCTGCTGTAAAAACAGGCTTTTTCGAATGGGTGTGTATGTGACTTCCTGTTCTTCTGCAGCCAGCCTCTAGTGGACACTCCAGGAACTGCAGGATTTTGCTCGTGACCACTAACTAGTATTTAACTACGTTTGCCTTCTCTCCCATTGTTGAACAGCGGGAATATTAAAAATGTTCTCATGAGGACAGCTGCTAGCTTGGCTTTTCTTTAGATTCATCTTTATTAGCCCCCCTACAAAAATAAAGAGATTAAATAGAAATAAGACACCTTTTCTGATCACTTCTCTTGAGAATCCCAAAAAAATCAGATAAAACATTCTGTTCTTGCTTTCAGGTTTTATTTTTATTTTTCAGCTTCCACATATTGTTATACTTATTTTCCCCAAATTAGAAAGTTAAAGATTAAAATAATAGTTATTTATTGTTTGCCCAATAAATACAAATTGTATCTCAAGTTAGTCATTAGAGAGATTGAGCGTTTGCATTTGGAGGCTTCGTTTGGTTTTAAAGAAAACGTTCCATGTGAAGAGCAAATAAGGTCGACTAAGAGGATGAAACGTGATCCTGGAACCGGCCTGCTGTCATCGAACACAGACTTAGATTCTTCTGAATCTCTGTAAACAGAAATGTGCTTATAAAGCTGCAGACGTCGTTTTTCTTCCTAAACTTAATCTTCCCATTCTCAAAGAAGACCGGCAGACAATAAAAAGGAAGTCCTGGTTCATATCTAATATCAGTTTGTGGTCTGGTCTGGCTTCACTTGTTTCCACTAGAGGCTTGTTCAGACGCAGGCCGACAGCTACAGAGATCGTCGTTCTCCAAATGTTAAGACTCTAAAGTTACCATCATAAACCCAAACATCTGAAGCTCCAGTTCTTGGAAGATCATACTCTGATGGATTTGCCAAAGAGTTCAATGTTCTGAAGCGTCTTAACATCCCGGACACTAGCTGCACGACAACCTGAAGCTTTAATATAAAAGAATGTGAAATGAAGGACTGCCGGGAGATGTTGCTCAGACAGTGTGTCATGTGATCTCCTCTGTGGGTTTACTTCCTGATAACTGCAGTGATTCAGTTCTTTTGTTCTTCAGTCCAGTCAGGATTTAAACGTCTCCATGCAGCTTCCAAACAGCCACAACAACGATGAGTTAAAGTCGTTTTATTAAGAGAAAGTTTCCTTTGTTTGTTCCAGGATCAGATTTGAGTAACAGACGAGGTTTCTGCCTCATCAATCATACTGACATCCTCACTACTATTCAAGGATAAATGACACATCAGCACTTCTTTGAGTCAATGTCATCACTTCCACACTCCAATGATTCTCCTGCAAATATCGTCTTTCCTGTCCATTGATGCTGAAGGCGTTTAATAAGCTGTGCATGTCTTGTTGTTTAGTCCTGGTTTTATCAAAGAATAGTCCAACCCACTAAAATATCTGATTGTGTTTTTTAGACGTGTTCCTTTGAATTGTTTTTGTATCATGGCTTTCATCTTGACAATCAAACAAAGACAAGTAAATGAATCGATGACTTCAGGATGTGAACTTTTCTTTGAGGAATTTGCACCCAAGTTAAACTTTACAAGCATTTTGATTGATAGTACAATGGGCAAAGTGTGGCAGTAATAACGTCTGTGTTCTGGAGTTGGTCGCTGTAAAGAGTCAACTTTTTGGCAGAAGGTGGATTTATTGATTTATTTGTATCAAACCTGAGACCTTACTTTGGTTTGATAAGTTCCTGCAGCCGGTTAAGCTGCTAAACATGAGACAAAGATGACACCGCTAACAATACAGCTCAACGTCTAGATCTGTTCAGAATAATATCTGCAGGGATGAACACTGCTTCTTGCTTGCTCAATCACTCTCTCTCTTTTTCTCTTCTTAGCTTCATCCGTCCTCTTCCTCTTCCTCTTCCCTCAGCCGTCATATCAAACAGTACAGAGACGGGCTAACTCTCTGCTTTGTAGCTGAAGGCTGCTGTGTGAACTAGTGCTGTAAAGACGTACGCACTTCTTGCAAGATAACCTCGGCCTGTTAAAAAGTTACATAGTGCAGTTAACGGGCGATCAGGGGGCGCCGAATACGAGTTGGTTTGGTAGATATTACAAATCTAAATACTTCGATTCTAACATTTCACCTGGTCATCTTTGTGTTTCTATGCGCTCACATAAGTCCTAAATATCCACAGACGGAGCAGGTCCTTAATAAGACGAACCAACAGCCGTCACCAGTGCAGACCTTTCCGTTTTCCTGCGAGTTTTCCTGAATGCTTCAGAGGAGACGTTGAGGGGAAGGTTTGTCACTTGGTTGCAATCTGCAAACTTGCTGCCTGGAGGTCACTAAATCCTTCACACTTCTCCTGAAATGATCTGCGAGTTTCTACTAAAGCTGAAACCAGTATAGGAGGAAGTGCAGGATTCTGGATTCTTAACAATGATCTGCAGCATCTGGAACCCAACAGCTGGAGATATTCAACAACGTCGAGCAGTCCTCAGCTGTTGGTAGCTCGGTTACAGACGAACTGACTTATTACTCTGCAGAAAACTCAAAACTTTGCAAATTCATCTGAGCAGATAAACATCTTAAATAAATAAAGGCTCGAGGTGAATTCTCCTGATTATATTCTGCTGCGTTCACACATCAGCTCCTCCTGGAAATATCAGGAGTTTTCTTCAAGTGTGAAAGCCCTTAAAGATTTTGTGTGTGTCTGAGTGTGTGTACCTGTGTGTGTGTATGTGTGTGTGTGTGTGTCCCTGTGTGTGTGTCCCTGTGTGTGTGTGTGTGTGTGTGTCCCTGTGTGTGTGTGTCCCTGTGTGTGTGTGTGTGTGTGTGTGTGTGTGTGTGTGTGTGTGTGTGTGTGTGTGTGTGTGTGTGTGTGTACCTGTGTGTGGGGGTGTACCTGTGTGAGTGTGTGTGTGTGTGTGTGTGTGTGTGTGTGTGTGTGTGTGTGTGTGTGTGTGGGGGGGTGTGTACCTGTGTGTGTGTGTGTGTGTGTGTGTGTGTGTGTGTGTGTACCTGTGTGTACCTGTGTGTGGGGGTGTACCTGTATGTGTGTGTGTGTGTGTGTGTACCTGTGTGTACCTGTGTGTGGGGGGTGTACCTGTGTGTGTGTGTGTGTGTGTGTGTGTGTACCTGTGTGTGGGGGGTGTACCTGTGTGTGTGTGTGTGTGCACCTGTGTGTACCTGTGTGTGGGGGGTGTACCTGTGTGTGTGTGTGTGTGTGTGTGTGTGTGTGTGTGTGTGTCCCTGTGTGTGTGTGTGTGTGTGTGTGTGTGTGGGGGGTGTACCTGTGTGTGTGTGTGTGTACCTGGATAGTGTGTGTGTGTGTGTGTGTGTGTGTGGGGGTGTACCTGTGTGTGTGTGTGTGTGTGTGTGTACCTGAGTGTGTGTGTGTGTGTGTGTGTGTACCTGTGTGTGGGGGGTGTCTCTGTGTGTGTGTGTGTGTGTGTGTGTACCTGTGTGTGGGGGGTGTCCCTGTGTGTGTGTGTGTGTGTGTGTGTGTACCTGTGTGTGGGGGGTGTCCCTGTGTGTGTGTGTGTGTGTGTGTGTGTACCTGTGTGTACCTGTGTGTGGGGGGTGTCCCTGTGTGTGTGTGTGTGTGTGTGTGTACCTGTGTGTGGGGGGTGTCCCTGTGTGTGTGTGTGTGTGTACCTGTGTGTGGGGGGTGTCCCTGTGTGTGTGTGTACCTGTGTGTGGGGGTGTCCCTGTGTGTGTGTGTGTGTGTGTGTGTGTGTACCTGTGTGTGGGGGGTGTCCCTGTGTGTGTGAGTGTGTGTGTGTGTGTGTGTGTGTGTGTGTGGGTGTGTGGGGGGTGTGTCTGTGTGTGTGTGTGTGTGTGTGTGTGTGTGTGTGTGTGTGTGTGTACCTGTGTGTGGGGGGTGTACCTGTGTGTGTGTGTGTGTGTGTGTGTGTGTGTGTGCGTGTACCTGTGTGTGGGGGGTGTACCTGTGTGTGTGTGTGTGTGTGTGTGTGTGTGTGTACCTGTGTGTGGGGGGTGTACGTGTGTGTGTGTGTGTGTGTGTGTGTGTACCTGTGTGTGGGGGGTGTCTCTCGGGCAGGATGAGGTTCTGGAAGTTTATGATGCAGACGGCCTCGGCCCCCAGCCAGCGGTCGGACACGGCCTTGATGTAGTACTGAGAGGGCAGCGGCTCGAAGATGGGGATGGTGAACACGATGTTCTGAGGCTCTCCTGTCACCACCTGAAGGGGGGGGGGGGGGGGGGGGGGGGGGGTACGGATAAAGGAACATCAGTCCCCTCTTTAAGAAAGACGTTCAGAAGTCAGATCTGAATGAATCTACCGACCTGCTTCTTCTGCAGGAGGAGGTGTTCAGAGTGATAGATGTGGTCGTTGATGGGGTCCTCCACCCACAACCACCACGGCTCACCCACTGACCCATGGACCTGGATCGGGGGGGGACACACAACATTTTAGTAAGACTTTCTCAACACTGACAGGTAAAGGGAAAAACTATGTGGAGAAGGTTTACTGTCATGAGAAAAACAAGGAAACTTTAATGGCTGACTTTCTGTTGACTTTAGGCTCCAACAGATTTTAAAGAGTCGACAGATTTTACATCAAATTCAAGTTTCATTTTAAATGTGGTGGCTTTGACTATTTCATATTTCTGGGGGGCAGCTGAAAGCGGTTTTGCGGCACCTTCGGCTAATTCCCATATCAGATTTTTGTCTCTTCTGATGCATGTGCAAAACATTTAAGAGGTTCCAATGTCCCCCTTGAGCCTTAGAATAAACCCAGAAGAACATTTCAGTCAGACTGCCCCCTAAAATCTTCCTAACCTGCTTGTTCAAACATGCACATCCCAGCTAGAGACTATCTCTGTGGGATAGGAGGGGCGGCTTCAGGACGCAGTGTGTGAAATCAAGGCAACTCTATCCAAACACAGGCGTTAGTAAGATGGCATCTTCATCAATCAATCTACAACTGGGACACTTTCTTAATCAGTCCTGACGATGTGTTCCCCTCAAATATGAAACTGGATAGCAGAATAAAAGATGATAGTAATTATCTAAACAAAACAAATCTGTCTTTGCACTTTGTGCCAGAGGACAGTTAATGCTCAGACCCTAATAACAAACACAGTAAATATAAAAACGATAGTTATGTTTGTTTGTATATGTTGTAGGTATGTGAGTGTTGAATTAGGGTGGTAAAAGTTGAAGGACATTAAAGCTGAAAACCATACAGACAAACAGATAAATATTTTAACACATCAGCTTTAAAAACCCACTGAAGGTTTAATGTCTGAATTAAGAACAATGAACAATCCTCCCAGAGTCAGCAGGACATGTAGGGTGGTGTGTCAGTGTGGTCTGCTTCCTGGGTGCCATCAGGGAGGCGTCTCATGTGTCGCTACATGTGTCCCGGCTCGGCAGCCGGATCACAGCTAAGCCACAGAGTCTTCCATTACCACTCTCCCATGATTGGAGCATGCATCGCTAATCGGACACAAACATTCATCTTAATATTCAGCTCCGCTACAATAAGCTTCCTGTTCCTCTCAGATTGCATTACAGACTGCCGACTAAGCTTCCCATGATCCCCCTTCTGGCCCGTCCGTCCGCTGAGGTGGGACATGCTGACGAGGTCTTCAGGAGTCCTGGCTCCCGAGGACAGATGGAGGAGCAGCTTCTCGTCTGCACACTGTGAAAACGTGACTGAAGTGTTTGTGTTGGTAAGAAGTGAGAGCTGTGGCGTTAATGTGCGGAGCGGCTTCCGGAGGACCCTGTGTGAGGTCTGTGAGGGGCTACGGGTCTGTTGGAACCAGCCCTCCACGTGCCATCAAGGATCTGAGCTG